GTTTAAGTATGGAAAAGACTATGGGTATGATGCCCGCGTGAAGCTTTTGGATGAATTTCTTCATGAATTGCCAAAGTCTCCGGATGAAAAGATTGTAGTTTACTCATCGATCCCAATTTTTCTCACTTATAGCTGTTTTGTTAGTATTTATTTCTATGATATAACATAGTAAAATTATTTTGTTTCAAGATACTTGTGGTGGATATCAACATAGGACATGAGAAGATTGTCAATACTTAGGTTAAAATTTTAAATGAATTACGTTAATACAATAGGTTCAGGGAGAGCTTCAAGCTGATTCTACAACCAAGCTAATTTCATTAGCAAAGTTAAATTCCTAAGCAAATATGATCTTATAGCCAAGCTGATCCTACAACTAAATGATTACATTTTCTATATTTTTTCTAATCATATTTGTTCTTGGACTAAGTTTGTTCGAGTACATGATAGTTAATCATGTTTGTTTAATAAGGCCTCATTTTGGTTACCATTGCCACACAAATATTGCCAATGTATTTTACCACTATGCTTAAATTCTCTTATTACTTTTATGCCACATTGGCACATGCATCAATATTAGGTTTAGTTTATGTAACGCCCGTAGATCATGGATAGTCAATTTAGAGACGATAGGCGTCAAAAATGAATTTTTTATGAAAGATTATTTAGAATGAATAATCTTAACTAAGTTGTAGTATATATTACAAGGATTCCATACATATAAAGAACGCCGAAATCCGAGTTATAATGAAGAAGTTATGACCTGTCGAAGTTTCGCGACAGAACCGACACGACACAGCGCGACGTAAAAAGTGAATTTATGTTAGAGCGATATTTAGCCTTAGAAATCTAAATGAAATTCGTAGAATACGTTAAACTGTGAGCGTGCATAAAAAGAACGCCCAAATCTGACTTCTATTAGGAAGTTATGATTTTTCGAAGTTTCGACTTAGCGGTATGCAGCCCGAATACTCGATTTGATACCGAGCGGTTTTTAGTCAAAACAATCTAAATGAGAATAGAATATCTCATTAATTGTAGTAAAACGATAAAAAGATAGGCGAAAACGGACGTCGGATGAAGAAGTTATGATTTTATAACGGAGTTTTCCTGTCCCGACCTACTAAAAATAAATAATAAAAATAAAGTCAAAATTAGCCGACGGAGTCTAAACGAAAGTTGTAGAGCATAGTCTCACCTACGCGGGGATATAAAGAACATCGAAAACGGAGTTCGTATGAGGAAGATATGAATTTTTGAAGTTTATTAAATATTTTCGATATTTAATTTAATTATAAATTAACCGATATTATCCATGGGGGAGTCAGCGATCTGATCCATGTTACGCCCAACGTAATTTAGAATTACGCCCAGCGTAATTTGGGTTTCCATCCCCCTATAAAAGGGTGTCGAGGGCAGCCGAGTTCTTTGCTCATTTCTTCCATTTTTCTCGCGTTTTTGCATCGTTTTTCGTGCAAGAATCATCCCGAAGCCCCGATATCATTCCCGAGCCCTGAAGCAAGTCCCGAGGCCCTGAAGATCCCGAGAAGTGCAATTCCCAAGCCGAAGCTCTGTCTGCGAGAAGTCCGGTTTTTGTGAAGATCTTCCAGATCTACCGAAGAATACTACTTCTACAAGTCGTAGTGCTGTCCGATCATCTTCTGATCAAGTGAGTGTGTAGTTACTTTCTTCTAACGCATAATTATGAAGTATTTTATACGAAATACGTGTTATGTGTATAATATAAAGTTGTTTATATGTGAGTGTATAGTCACTTTCATCTTACAGATAGATATGAAGTATTTGCTATGAAATACATGCTATGTGTTTATACATTGTTTGTTTACTTGAGATGGATGCTGAATGAATGTTTTATACGAGTTTTTAAATAAGTTGTATATGTAATTTATATCTACAAATATGTTGGGTAGAACATGGGTAGATGAAATAGTTGATGTGTGTTGAAAGAATGTGATAAGAGAAAGGTGAGGATATAATGGTGATGATAATTAGGTGATGATAGATAGGTGATGAATTACGAGTCCAGACGATGTTGTGACTACGTATTCATGCGATGATAGTTTATTCCTTATTATGAATTACGAGTCCAGGCGATGTTGTGGTTGCGTATTCATGCGATGATAGTCTAACCCTTATTATGATTTACGAGTCCAGGCGATGTTGTGGCTGTGTAATCATGCGATGATACCCTAACCCTTATTAGACATATATTGACGGAGTGATCCCCGAATTAGTATTGTCTATATGATACAGGCGATGATCCTTATGAAAAGTTCTTAGGAACAAGCATATAAGGATATAAGATGTAAGGAGATGAGCGGTAAATATGATATAGGAGATGACCCTTAGGATAATATCTTTATGGAAGATTAAAAGAAGATAATGGGGATGGGTAATTGGGTTGATTGTTTGATGATTGAATATAATAATTATATTATTGTGGGTTGAAAACCCTATATGATCACCAGGCTCCCAAGCCTGACCCACTCAGTTTAATTATATTACAGGTATCGATACGAAGCTGCTTTGCACTGAGAGATTAAAGGAGATGTAAATCTTTAGTGTAATTGAATGTAAGTTCTGTTTATGCTTATATGTCTGTATCGGAACATGACATCCCGATATTTTATTATTAAATGAAAATACATTCTCTTTGAGAAATGTTTTGATAAGTTATTATCATATCTTGTTTTGGGAACACATTCCGCAACCGTTTTCTTTAAAAGATTACTCTGATTTTATAAAATAAAGCATAAACAAATCGGTCTTTTCTGGCCGTGAAAATGGGAATGTCACAATTTATTAAGTTAATTATAAGTATATTTTTTTTACTTAAAATCAAGGGTTGTTTGGTATTAATTTATGTTGGGGTTGTTTAGTACTTTTAACTTGAAAACATACACTATTTATTTATTTATTTATTTATTTTTTTTATGAATTTGTGTAGTGGTTGTGTGGTATTTTTTATTAGAAATCAAGGTAAATTAAAGTCATATGTTTGAATGTACATTTCTTTCTCATATAGGATCATGTTAAACATGTATATGCATGATAAATCATTAAACAAACAACTTTGAATCATATGTTGCTATTGTTTAATAAAATTGAAACTTTTTGTTTAGTTGTTATTGTGTAACTCTAAATCTTTCATGACTACAAAGGTAAACTAGTCACAATTCCTTACACAAATATTACTAAAAAAAATACTCTTTAAATTTCAATTCTAACCATAAAACCGGTTCCGGTTCTTAAATCTGGTTTACCCAGACCCAACAGACCCAAACCCGGGTTATCTGAAACATAGATAAAAACATTCTTTAAACCCGAAGCACGATTACGTTTTACATATTGTGGTTCCTATTCCAAATATGGTTAGTTTTCCAATTTCAAATCTCATCCCTACATTAACCCACACCAAACCTACACTCATATCCTCCCACTTCTATACATACCAATACCCACCCATATAAACATACCTCCACACTAAACCCTACTTCACCTACCCGACCCCCTTCACCTGCCCCAAGGGGTAGGGTGGATGCCAATGGGTATATTGATGTATGTGGGCATTTACGGGTAGTGGGTGTGGGTATTTCATAGCCATGTTAGAGTTTTATCTGGATTATAACAAAAAAAGCAAATTTATAAAAAGTTAACATATAATGATGTTTTTTTTATTTGAATCATAAAAAGAACAGCAAATTCAAAAACAAACATACAAATAATGGTGTTGATTATTGATAATGATTTGTCTATTATAAGTTATATTTTTTTTTACTTCAACCAGGTGAAAGGAAAAACCCATTTAATGATCTTCATGAAGAATTTATGTATTTTTGAGTAAAAATGACATTTTGTTACTTATCTGAATATTTTTAGTAAATATGTTAGAAACTACATTCATTTGGTAAAAAATAAATCAATTTTTTTTTAAATAGTCAACCCAACCAATGGGAGGGTATAACACTAGTTATATTATGACGTGAAAATGTAAAACACTTAATTTTTAACTTTAAGGTACCTATTTCGAATATTATCTCTTACACGAATGTACTTTATTTTATTTATTAGTTATTCAACTTATTTTTTAAAATTTTAAAATTGTCACACATCAGCTATAACATGAAACCATGGGAGGGGGGGGGGGGGGGGAAGCGGGCAAGTGCATATGGCCTAAAAGGACCATTCATGTAATTTTCGAAACCAATCAGTTTGGGATACTACTTTATTTTGACGATGGCTCCGCCACTACACAAAAATGACCATTCTTGTAATTTTCGAAACCATAATGATAAGCGGTGTAAACCTCCTCAAAATGCAATATTTTACAAACCATATGGACTAATTATGAAAAATTGTCATTTATCTATTTATTTATTTTTTGTTTCTTTTGTTGTTGATAAAAACAATTTCTATAAATAAGTACTTAAATCGTTTTCTTTCAACTTTTCAAAAAAAATCTTTAAAAATAGTATTACGGTATATAAGAAAAACATCCGGTAATCATCTGGCCGCTAATTAAGGAAAAACAAATATTTCGTGATCACTTTACTAATTTTAATTAATTTTTTTTGTAAAATATCGAACAACCATCACACTGATCACAGGTATGTACTAAGGAAAACTATGGTCGTATCAAACACGGATTGACCGCGACTCATGGTACTAATTAGAGCGAATTTGCTCACCAACTTTTCTATCGTAAAGAATCAACAAATCAAATGATTTCGATTCAATATCTTTAATTTAGAGTTTAGGCAAAGGTAACTTTACCTTACTGTTTTCGCATTCTTTAATTCCACCAATAATTTGGCTTACAGTAATGACTATTATTATTATAAAATTAAACAATTATAATTATAACAACCACACATAAATATCTAAAGTGAATTAAAATTTTATTTTAATATTTAAAAATTCGAAACTTTTGTAAGGATTTCGTTCCGTTGGTGATAATAATTTAAAAATTTGTGGAAATTCTTGAATTTGCGATCACTGTCCGGAGCTCTCGACAGTGATTGCTTTCACATAATATATTACGCGTTTCGTTTGGTCCACATTTTCAGTTTCCCATTTCTCAACTCACCTGCTTCTCTAGACCCTTTATCTCCCGTAACCCCTAATCATACTCAAATCAACTCTGCATCGAGTTTTCAATCAACTAACTACTCTATAAAGAAGCCCTGGTAGGTAGCACAACCCTTGCGAAATTAACCAAAAAAACCTTACTGAAAATGATGTTTCAGTAAGAAAGAAAGAGTTTTTACTGTGCACAGATCTTTAGTCTGATCACTGGTGTAAATTGAACTGAATCAATGGCGGGTGGTGAAGGAGAAGGGACATCGTTAGAGTTTACACCCACATGGGTTGTAGCCGCCGTTTGTACCCTCATCGTCGGAATCTCCCTCGCCGTCGAACGTCTACTCCATTACGCCGGCAAGGTGAGTTGTTCGTTTCCTTCTTATATGTGAAATGGGGTTTCATTGATCAACTAATATATGTTCGATTTACCCTTCGTTTGTAGAAATTGAAAAAGGCAGGTCAAAAGCCGCTTTTTGAAGCCCTGCAAAAGATCAAAGAAGGTCTTTCTCTTTCTTCTTCTTCTTCTTCTTCTTCTTCTTTCTTCTTCCAGTTTTTATATATCGCTAGAAATCAATCTATACAACGGGTTTATCAAATCTATGTACTAAATTTGAAGTGTGAGTGATCTGGTTTATCAAAATTTTGACGTTAGGCTACCAATTTTGGTCAAAGTTTGTTGAAATTTTTACTAATTTGGATGCAGAGTTGATGTTGTTGGGGTTTATATCGCTTCTATTAACGGTGTTCCAGTCTAGAATCATCAAGATTTGTGTGAAGGAGAGTGTCATGGAACACCTCCTCCCATGCTCGTTACGTGACAGAGAAGAAGCCACCGGTTCTAAGCCAGAGGCAGAGGGTACATCTCATCTTCTTCGTCATTTACTAGCAGAAGAAGCAACAGCGACGGGTTATTGTGCTTCAAAGGTAATCAATTTCATTCATTATTACTCTACCCATTAATTGTTTTTATTAGAAGATCTTCATGTTCCATGATCAATAATTGAACACTTACTTTATGAGCTTTTTCTTCTTTTACTTTCTCTGTTGACAGGGAGGAAAGGTCCCACTGCTATCTCTTGAGGCGTTGCATCATCTACACATCTTTATTTTTGTCCTTGCGGTTGTTCATGTCACATTTTCTGTCCTCACTGTTGTATTTGGAGGAGCAAGGGTGAGTAAAAGGTTTTGAATTTGATTAAATATGTTTTCGTTTATATTAGGTTTATATAATTAGTTATTCATGAGGTTTGGTTTCATCACCTATATCCTTGTAAATTGATTTAGATAAGACAATGGAAGCATTGGGAAGATTCTATTGCAAAAGTTAATTTTGATACTTCACAAGGTAAAGACTAAAGGGTTATGTTATCATGTTTCATTTATTAATGGTGGAATACACTCTATCTTGGAAAATTTCCACAAATCAAACCTTTTAATAGATACAACTTGTAATTTCTTCCTTAAAGATGATTAATAGTTTGTGTGTCCTTTATAAGATTTTCTAATTTAAACTTTTAACTATGTTGGTATATAGTTTTGAAGCCAAGAGTGACCCATGTTAAAGATCATGACTTCATTAGGAACCGATTTGTGGGCATTGGCAAAGGCTCAGCCATCCGAGGCTGGCTGGTAAGTTACAATCCTAGATATAGCAATATACTTTTATTTATTTGTTTATTATAATTTATATTCTTTCTATTCACATTACTATAATTGTGTAGATTTTCTAAAAGTACAATGTGATAGAACAAATTGAAAATACAATGCTATGATAACCAAATCAATGGAACTGTGATTTCTATTCCTTGCATTTGTTTCTAAAGTTTACTCTCCTTTCTCTATTAGGTTTGTTTCTTTTTCTTTTCTGACATTTATTCTTTGGTGAACATTATAACAGCATTCTTTCTTCAAGCAATTTTATGGATCTGTAACCAAGTCAGATTATGTAGCATTGCGTTTGGGATTTATTACAGTAAGGACGTTAACATATAATTTGCAATATTTTTATATTATTTATACCCCTTTATGATGTAAACTTTATTTTTTAGACACATTGCAAGGCGAACCCAAAGTTCAACTTTCACAAGTACATGATACGCGCTCTTGAAGATGATTTTAGAAAAGTCGTTGGGATCAGGCAAGTGGTTATTTTGAATATGAATATATGATCACCAAAACTATTAAATAAAAAGTAAAAGCAACACAAATTGACCTATTTTTACATAGATAGGTTAACGTTTGCCCTTGTGAACAAGTTTTAATTCCTGATTTTGTTGTTTGCAGCTGGTATTTGTGGGTGTTTGTGGTCGTGTTCTTGTTGCTCAACATTAATGGTATGCGATCTCACTTTTTCATTTATCAAAATTTTGAAATCTCTCATTGTGATTTGATTGGTTGATTTGGTTTTCCTATATTTTACTGCTAACATACAATGGATGAAATTAAAAAATTAGCTAAAGATAAGTCGGCCAAGCATACTACGTCTAACATTTGTAATTATATTTAAAATCTTATTTATGTATGAAATCCAAAAGACTTGGTCTCACTTTTGATTTTTTTTTTCTTGGCTTTTTGCAGGTTGGCATACGTATTTTTGGATTGCCTTTTTCCCTTTCATCGTAAGTAAACTCAACTCATACCGAAAGGGTGTCTTACCTTATTATTTTAAAACTTTCAATATTATATTCATTATTCAAACATCTTTACTAAACTTGGATGTGCGTTTAAACTGATTCTGGTTTTCTGATTATTTAAAAATAAAGTCTTTTTTGTTAAAAAAATTTCAGCTTCTACTTGCTGTGGGAACGAAATTGGAGCATATAATTATTCAGTTGGCTCATGAGGTGGCTGAGAAACATATAGCCATAGAAGGCGAACTGGTGGTTCAACCTTCAGATGATCATTTTTGGTTTCACAGGCCCAGAATTGTTCTTTTTCTCATACATTTTATCCTTTTCCAGAATGCATTTGAGATTGCGTTCTTCTTCTGGATATGGGTATGTTTCTATTCTCTTTGTAAAGATGCAAAAAAATAAACATAAAATGAAGGAATTGATTTTTCTCACCCTTTTCATTTTGATGACAGGTTACGTATGGATTTGACTCTTGCATAATGGGGCAAGTGCGCTACATTATTCCACGACTGATTATTGGGTAAAGTAAAAATCGTTTAATTCAAAAATAGCGTTAAATTAAATATTTGTGTATGCAACAATGTTTCATTATTTTCCAAATTTATGGAACTAACTCGTTACCTCATGATGTGATAGACACCTGTTAAATTGTAAAAAGTTTGAAATGTTGTTTCGTCAACAAACATTTAACCCTAAAAAAGTTTTTATTATTATTCTGTTTGTAAGTTTTTGGATCATATTTAATCAATCGAACTAATTATTTTATTCAACCACACTAACTATACAAAATGGATTACTTCATTTCAGGGTTTTCATTCAGGTTTTGTGCAGTTACAGCACTCTACCACTTTATGCTCTTGTAACGCAGGTACTTCTTTTCAAGACGTTTTTTAATTTTTTTTAATTTTTACATTGAGTTAAATGCAAGAAAAAGCAACATATATCTTGCAATCATGGTTTTTTACACAAGTGCTGATTGGTTCTGTGAATGATAACTAGATGGGAACTCATTTCAAGAAGTCAATATTTGATGAGCACATGCAAGCAAAATTTGTGGGTTGGGCTCAAAACGCCAAGAAAAAGGTAGCCACTAATGCAGGAACAAATGGCTCGAGCCATGATGGCCCATCTGGCTCAGGTGGTTCAGCTGGTGCAGGTGCAGCCACTGCTGCTACTTCAGCTTTTAAAGGGATCCAATTGGCAAAACTTAACCAGAGTCAGCAGTCGTAAAACCAAATTATTGCCTTGTGGAGATGCATATGTTAAATAGTAGTCTGAAAAATTAGTGCCAATCTGGAAGCTTGTTCTTCTATGTTGGGTTTTAGTAATTGTGTTTCTACCAAAATTTTGTTTTGAACCTTGAAAATATGTAACGATTTGGATCCATGATGATGTATGAGGTGAATGCATGGTGGTTTAAAGTTGGTGTTATGCTGAGATGCTCAATTCGTATACACGCAAAATTTATATAAAAGTATTTGATATTTCTGGATAGGATATTAAAAAATATAGACCTACGACTCATGTATTAATGACCAAGTGGCACCTGGTCAACCGAATCTATATAAATTAAGTATTTTTTTAAAGACTTTTGGGTCCCAGTGCTAGAGTTGATAGCTCTTCTGATTTATTGCAGTTTGTCTCGTGAATTTATCTTGGTGGGGGTGGGCCTATAGATTTTGCTTTAAAAGAACTGTTAACATCGGTCACATGCTTTCTACACGGAGTTGTTGGTTAAATGTTGGTTAAACGTGACAAAATTATATAAGGACAGGGATCATTTTTGCCAAGAGGATAATTCTTAGGTTATGTTTGACGTACTAGCTGAAAAGGTGTCTGTTAGCTGAAAAGCTAGCTGATAGCTGAAAAGTTAGCTATTAAATAAAAAGATAGATGATAGCTGAAAAGTTAGCTGATAAAAAATAACGTTTGGTAAAACTAGCTGAAAAATATAAAATTACATAAAAGGACATGTAAAAATATACGTTTCTATAATTAATTAAGGGGTGTATTTGGAAAATTTAAAAAAATCTCCTAAAAAGCTAGTCTAAGTAGCTTTTCAAAAAACTAGTTTATAAGTTATTTTTTGGCTTACCAAACACGATAACATAAAAAACTCAAAAAATAAGCTAGCTTATCAGCTAGTTGTGGCGCGCAAAACATAGCTTTATTTTTACCTCAAAATTTAAATCATCATCGTCATCTAATCATATACTAATAAATATTTATTAGTGTTATTTGTTATTTTTTTTATACTTTATGTTTTTTTATAATTACTCTATCATTTTTATTATTTTTAATTTTTAAAAATACCGATGTTGGTAATAAGTTAGATAATTATTTGATTTGATTTAAAAAAAATAAATTCATCTTTAATATGTTTGGGTTATAATTCTTGATAATTAGTTGTATTTCTATATTGAAAACCCTATAAAATTATGGTTAATTATTAATTTATTAAAAATAATTGATTAATAATTATGAGTTTTAGTATAAAAAATAATTATTTTTGTAAACGTAGTTCCTGCCAGTGTTATCGATGGCGATAGCGAAGTAATAGCGACAACCTATCTACATGCTATATAGCGATAGCGATGAAATAGCGACAACTATTTCATTTTCTGAGAATACCTATTAAAAAATTAATACTACTTTTACCTTCACCTAATTAGCAATTATAACTAATAAATAAGCTAAAAACCATTAGCAATTACAACTAATAAATAAGCTAAAAACCCCAAAAGAGACTTTTCAGGAATATTAAAAAAAAACATAATATACACACCCATGCTTTTGACTCTTTAAGGAATATTTATTTCTTTAATAGAAAATCTTTTAACTATAAAGGTGTGGTTTTGTTTAGCACCCCATACTTTCTACTGCTTCTGGTTTAGTAGCCCACCAGACCATATTTTTACTGTCCATACTTTTGGTTTAGTAGCCCACTAGGCCATACTTTTACCGCTTTTGTTATCTCCTCTTAGATAAACCAAACTCATGTTGGATTAAAGACTTCAGGTCTTCAAGTATTAAATTAAAAACCCTATCGCCCAATCCCTATCCTGCCTCAAGTCTTCAAGTCTTCTTTCTCGTTAGATTAAAGACTTCAAGACTTCAAGTCTTCAAGTCTTCTCTCTCACGAATACAATACATTCAACAACTACGTGATTCAACAGTCTTCTCTCTTAAGGTGTAAGTTTCTCCTGTTTTTTTAAACTATGCCAAAGACTATTGGAGTATTTGATGCTTCTTTGACTTAGCCAACTAAAAACCCTAATACGGGTCTATTTATACCATATTTAAAAAAAAAAAATCAAACGGCTCGCTACGTCGCTATGGACCCCATAGCGACAATGGATCGCCTCGCCTCGCAAAACGCTATAGCGAGCGCCATGCTCGCTATTGATAACACTGGTTCCTGCAAGTTATAACCTAGTGGATATATATAATGACAATTTCATTTTTATAGAGCATTTGATAAGAAAACATAAACTATAAGAAAATGATAAGCGACACTAATAACTATTATTTTATTAGTTTTGGACAGAGCGTAGCTTGCCGATGTTCATTCATTATTTATTTAATTACTAGTTTTTAAGATCTATGTATTACATGAGTTCATTTAAAAAATGTCAAAATATTTAAAAACTTGGAATTTATAAGAAAATAAGAAAAATAATGAATTATTATAATGAAAATGTGTTTTATCTTTTAAATTTAAATAAATAAAAGAAACTAATAAGCTTTAATTTTAAGAATTTTGAAATTAGAATGTAAGTTCATTAATAAAATTGATATATATTTATTATTATATTTATTGCAATTATTACATTAAAATATTATGTGAAATTTAAGAAAATAGAAAAACTCATAAAATGACATATGAAAAAAAAATTATTTAAAATAACCACAAAATAATATTTGGCAAATTGAATGAGAGTGTGACAAGTGGCAAAAAAATCTTCATTTATTAGAAATGATTCCACAAACAAGAGTTTAATTCTGAGTTTGCATAACAAACTGGTATTTGAGCAATTAAAGGATATTTTTATTGATCGGTGCTATGAAGGTGGTTCTTGTTTGCATTTGTCCTTTGGTATATTGAAGAGGATGAAGTTTGCAATTGGTATTGTGACTCCATGGAGGTTCTTAATAAAAAAAAAATGGGTCATTAACATCTCTTGTTCACTCCAGTAAGGTGTGTTTATCTTTATATGGAAATTTGCCAATTTTAAATGTAAGTAACTATAAGACTTTATTGATAAAACCTTAAAGGGTAAAATAAGATTTACAAGTACACATAGTACAAAATAACACCATATGCTGATAACTACAAATATATATAGATAAATACATTATCTATGACTTATCGCTAACACTCCCTAAAACATCCCAAAAACACGGTCTAAAAATTTCGTTTTAATTTAATAATAAAAACCATAGTCATCATACGCCATCGAAAAATCATAAACAATGTATCTCAGAATACTAAAAATCATAAACAGAGTATAAACATCCCAGGCTGAACAAATGGTGTGTGTACTGTGTAGCACCTGGTTCCTGATATGTATTTTAATCTAAGTATTTTTGCATTTTTTTGCTGGAACTCGGCGAGTTGCAGGTCCGACTCGCCAAGTAGAGGCGAATATCGAGCACGTTTGAGTTGGCGACTCGACGAGTCCATATCCTGGACTCGGCGAGTCCGCCTGTCTGGATGAAACCCTAACTTCAAGGGTTTGCACCCTATTTAAAACCCCTTATGCGCCCCAAGCTCGCCCCCTTCACTTTCAGAGCGCCCTTTAACAAACCCTAACCCTCCCTTTTGTGATTTGAGTGTTTGTGTGCTTTTCCTCGAAGTTTGAAGAAAAGAAGGAAGGAAGGACCAAGGAGAAGGAGAAGAGCAAGGATCTAGATCTCAATCCAGAGTCCATTAAGTTATATTTCGGATCTTTTCTGTTGCCATGATGATTTTCTTTTAGAAAACCCCATTTAAGCCATCTTTACCCATTTCCCAGCTTAATTGTAATATAGAGATCATATTGAGTGGAATGGCCTTTGAATCTAGCTAGGTTTGAGCTTCAAGAGCCCAAATCTATTGCCTTTATGGAGCCATATTGTATGAAAGCCCTAGATCTACTCTTTTAGTGTGTTTTGAGCCTTAAATTCGTCATTGGTGTTTATCTACATGTAAAGTTGGAAACTTTACGTGTTAATCGATCCCTAAGAACCCAGATCTATGGATGGAATGCACTGGGTTCAAGCAGAATCGAGTATATAGTGATTGCATGCTTGGGAATCGGCGAGTCAAGTCGCGAGTCCCCGATTTTCCCCTTTTGAGTTATGCCGAGTGGGATCAGTGAGCTATAAGCGGACTCAGTGAGTCGGGAGCTAGACTCAGTAATGGAGGGACTCGGCGAGTCCAAGGCAATCTTCTTGTCTCAAGAACAGACTCAACGAGTTGTTCATACAACTCGGCGAGTCGAATGAAGGACTATTGGATATATGTATGGAAGGAGAACTCGTCGAGTCAATGACTAACTCGACGAGTAGGAACGGAAGTGAGGACAATCGAATGGACAGGGACTCGACGAGTTAGTGAGCCAACTCGGCGAGTCGGGTCAACTGGAAGTTGACCTTGACTTTGACTTTTGACTTGGTTAGAGGTAAAATGATCATTTTACCCTAACGATAGTTAGCAGTGTTTGATTGAGTGTTTTGTGGGAATTACAGCCGGAGGTTTTCTGGAGCAGCAGCAGCAGACAGATAGTTCCTGTACAGATCAACAACTACTTCGAGGTGAGTTACCTTCCAGTAGCGGTGGGTCTACGGCCATAATACCGACCCACCAGTAGGAGTTATGTGTTAGATGATTGTCTTTGTGATATCATCTAGTTTTGCTACTACCTGCTATGTTATATGCTAGCTTGATGTGTTATAGTAGTAGAGTTCGGTTGTTAGGACCGCAGGGTAGTCAGACACCCCAGATACGTCTGACAGTATGTGATGTCATGATTATATGCTAGCATGTTGTGACATATGTGTTAGGGGTAGTAGGAGGGGAACAGTCCACGAGTTCGGTTGTTAGGATCGAAGGATAGTCAGACACCCAAGAGAATATCAAGTTCTATTCTTGGATAATAACTCATGAAACATTCACTCCTTATATAGCATATGAGGAACTTGGTACAAACCGATGACACATTCTAAGGACTAGATAAAACTAAGTGTTTGACAATCTGACACTTAAAAGATTCATACAATTTAGTCCTACGAACTGTATCATCAAGATAAGACAAAATACATTAATTGCTTGTTCAGACGCTGACTTCAGATATACTTCATCATCTCGGATTCATCATTCACTTCGGAACACCATCTCATTTCAGACACTAAGTTGACTTCAGAATTGCTTTAGATTGCTAGAGGTTCACTTCTTATACACTAGCAATCTCCCCCTAAGTGAACTTAGCAATCTGTCAACTCAGTTGTCATCTTCAGATACGAACAAGTAAGCACTGTAGAACCAACTTCGTACTTCCAAAATACCACTTGATAT